GCGGTGACTAGTAAAAGGGGGGCGGTAAATAGCAATCCAGTATTTTAATCGTTAGATCTACGTGTAGTTAGATAAGACAGATGATCAAAAGAGTAAAACACTCGACGCGATGACGGCACCGTGGCATTTCCCAATAATATGATAACCCTGTACTTATTCCTGCATGAAGTTATACTTAATTCTAGTAAGGCTTCTCTTACTCAACCATACTCTTTTGATATTTTTATATTATAATGTTATGCTTCAAAATATAAAATTTCACAATATTATTAAACAAGTATGATGACATATCCATCATCTTACAAGTCTGTCTCTTACAAAATTTGTGAATTTTGTAATATATTATCTTCGTCATATCTTGAAAGAAATAATGATTTGAAATTTTAATGATCATGATTTTGCTTGGTGCTATTTTAAATGATTGTCAAATATTTTCACTAAAAGTTGAATTCTTGTAATGTGAAATGGATTCTAATTATTAAAACATTGATAAAAGTCTGACTTGTTTGCGAATTAAGGGCCAAACTCAACCCTAGACGTGGCCAATTGCAGGGCCACGACCCGACCCGACTCGGCCTGTTGGGTCGATGGGCCTCAACCTCAGGGCTCGTGATCGGCCCGCCTATTCTATGAACCGGCCTTGAATCGCCGGTTCACCGACCTGCCGGGTCACGGGCCGGTACGGTCCTTCTAAAAAAAAAAATTAACATTGTGGTCCGTCGTTCGGACGGCGGGACAAAAAAAATTTATGAATCGGGATCGAACCGCGACCCTGAGGGTCCGGTTCAACGAGGCCGGTTTGGGCCGGGCCATGGACAGTTTATGGGCTAGTTCGGACCGTAAACATGTCTAACTCTATTAGGGCTGCACATTCGGTTAAAACCGAACCGAACCGACCGAATTTTCGGTTAACCGAAAATTCGGTTTGCCCATTATCATAACCGAAAACCGAACCGAAATTTACGGTTCGGTTCGATTTTTAACCGAAAATTCAACGGTCGGTTCGGTTCGGTTTTCGGTTATTCGCAATAAATAATTAATATTATTGTTAAATTTTGAAAATTTAACCAAATAAAAAATTTGATGTTTTATACCTACAAAAACTAATACTAATTTTTTATTACCTTATTTAATATTCTCAATAAATTCTAAATTATGCTCAAAGGAAGATTTCGGACCCGAACCGTAACTTGGAGACTATGATGAAACCAATTTTGAGTGCAAATTAAAGCTTGAGCAATTTTAGGCGTCAATGAAGCTTGAAAATCATCAATCATTAAAGCAAATTAATTTATAACTTGTATGTATAAATAAAAAACATGTATATATATTAAATAAATCGGTTTCGGTTCGGTTCGGTTAACCGGTCACAGTTATCCAAACAGAACCGAAAACCGAAATTTTAGAAAAATGTGAACCGAAAACCGAACCAAATAATCGGTTTCGGTTTCGGTCCAAACCGAATTTTCGGTTTCGGTCGGTTCGGCTCGGTTAACCGAACTTTGTGCACCCCTAAACTCTATTCCTTAAGTATTAATTGTTCCCATGTGAATTTTAAACGATTATATATAAATTATAAATTATAATCATAGAGTGTGTACTAGTGGAATCCTCCCTATATATTCGGGAATAATATATATTGCGTTGACCTTACGTGACTGTTTCTGGTGTTTCAGAATCTTATTTCACGAAGAATCATGCTTCGTAATTAGGTTTGGACAATAATATTGATATATTAATAATTAATAATCTAGCTAACTTAGATATTTTAATATCACTTTTACTGATATAACCCTTTAATTCTTTGTAATTTTACATAGTGAGACACTAAGTGACTAATATATCTCTGACTTTTGATTTGTTTCCTTCAATTAGCTATTGAATTGTAGATGTATTTTAAAATATGATAACTTTTATATTTTTTATCGGTTTTACATATATATATATATATATCTAATTAATCATCTTTTGATGATCTTCGATTTGACATCCATATTGCATATATGAAATAAATAAATCATATTTATCTTTATAATAATAAAAAATAATAATATTTATTAAAATTCATTAGAAAAATAAAATTATTTCTCAATTGATATATTTATGTTTAATGTAGTTATATGCTGTAAGTCAAAAAAATATTATAATATAACACAAGTAAGTCGCAAAAAGAAAAAAATGTCATACTAAATATATAATAACATATATATTCTTATAAAAAGTATTAAAAATTTTAATTACTTTTTTTAATTTTAGATTTTAAGAAAAAATTAACAAATACCCGTATAATACACGAGCGTTGTACTAAACTTAAAAGTTAAAACTTACCATAACATGTGTAGGCATTTGGGCCGACGTTTAACCCTTACGATAACGGGCTAATGACGTGACATTCTTATCTACGTTGGATATCTTTATCAAATAATTTCTAGATAAATCTGCCACGCCAGCCTCGCGATGTAGGATTTGGCCAGTTAGACTACTTATCAATTATTCACAATAAAATAAATTTTATTGAGAACTACATACGTAAACTGAATAAAAATAATTTCTTTTATTCATTTTTAAATGAAACTATATGGATGTTTATCAATCATTTTTTTGGTATGTTATTATAACAAAATATGTTTTAACTTCCTCCCACCAATAAAAAAAAAACACTGGTTTGAAAGTATATATCATTGTTTTAAATATCGTACACAAAATTGTTGAACGAAGCAAGCCGTTCGTGAGCTTGGATCAACTCGGATTGTTAAGACGCGAGTTCAACTCGGCTCGTTTGATGAAATCTCCAAGCTCGAGATCGCTCAAAGCTCGTTTTTTTAAGAAGTCGGACTCAGCTCGACTCGATGAGACTCGAAAGAGATTTTTTTATATAGTTCAAACTCGTTAAGGTTCAAACTCAACTTGTTAATATTATTACACGAGTCGAGCTCGAACTCGATTTCTGTCTTATGAGTCGAGTCGGGTTCGGCTCTACTCGTTTACAGCCCTACTGACAGTCACAAACAACATCGGTACACGATCCAATCCCTTTTACCACCTACTTTATCGGTTTAAACAAATATATATTACAATATAAATAATATTTAAAATCATTTAATGCTAAAATTGATAAAATCAAATAAGAAATTAAACATGCTAAATGAAGCATAAAACTTTCAGATTAAGTAAAAATTGATTAAAAATATAGAACTACTAAATAATAATAGTAATAAGGGTAAATAATTTATTCCAACCTGTACTATACGTGCTTTTGGGATTTTCAACCTAAAGTATTTTTTTTGGTAAAATGCAACCTAAACTACATATATACAATTATTTGCACGCTCGACTACTTTTTGACCATTCGATCAACAACAAAAAAAGACACGTGTATGGTCAAGATGTGGTCGAGCGTGCAAATAGTGATTGTATATATAGTTCAGGTTGCATTTTACAACAAATAATACTTTAGGTTGAAAATCCCAAAAACACGTATAGTACAGGTTGGAAAATATTATTTACCCTAGTAATAATAGCATCATCCTTTTGGTATTACAACCATATTTATTGATATAACTAGTAATTTTTTGGTATGAAATGAACATTTTGATATTTTGTTAAAAACAGTATTTATAGGATTTTTAAAATATTGTTATGAATACATATAGGCAAAAATTCAATTTTGGTCCACTATTTTGTTCATTGTCCACTTTTGGTACACTAATTTGTCTCTCATCAAAAAAGGTCCATTATATTACACATTTCATCAGTTTTAGTACGCTAATCTCGTGGTCCGGGATTACGAGATGCCAAATCAGTTTTTTTATTCTACCACGTCAACATCTTATCCCTCCACGTAGTTCCAATCCCGGTCTACATCATCTCGTAATCCCGCCAACTGGAGTAGTGTACTAAAACTGATGAAAAATGTAACATAATGGACCATTTTTTATGAGAGACAAGTTAGCGGACCAAGCAACTGGAGTAGTGTACTAAAACTGATGAAAAATGTAACATAATGGACCATTTTTTATGAGGGACAAGTTAGCGGACCAAAAATGGACAATGGACAAGTTAGCGGACCAAAATTGAATTTTTGCCAATATATATACATACAGCTTTCAATCCATAGTAGTCCATACACTGGTCACTAGACGCACTACACTCTTCACCGGCCGTTTGCTCCAAAACGATGTCGTATTTAGCCTCTCTCGTCCGCCGGCGAATGAGGCCTCTCACGCTTCAGCCCAGACAATTCTCATCCACTGCTCCGGCAATTTCAATCTGCCGGCCAAGCTCGAGGATCGAGAAGATTCTAATCGCGAACAGAGGCGAAATTGCATGCAGGATTATCCGCACCGCCAGGAGGTTGGGGATTCGATCCGTCGCCGTTTACAGCGACGCCGACGAGGGCAGCTTGCACGTCAAGCTGGCCGATGAAGCTGTTCGCATCGGACCTCCCCCAGCTCGGCTCAGCTATCTCAGCGCCCCGTCGATTATGGAAGCTGCGGCTCGAACAGGCGCTCAGGTTAAGCATATAATTAATTGTGCTTGTGGTGGTTTGTGATTATACGCTCTTAATTTGTGTTTGCAAGTTATCTCCAGATGAGTGAACTGTCTAACCGGACACGGGCTGAGTACGATTTTGCAATATGATGTAAATGCATGTCATTTCCTTTTATTTACTGTAAGGGCTCGATTTTGTATTTATTGCGTAGCTGTATTGTGGTGAGATCATACTTAGGAATAATTTTGTGCAGATTTTGTCTGTTCATGATATAGATACCAATTGCTTAATGTTTATGGAATGCACTTTTTTTAGATTGGGATATCTTTTTCTGCGATAATTAGGCTATCCACCCAGGTTACGGTTTTTTGTCGGAAAGTGCCGATTTCGCGCAACTTTGTGAAGATGAGAGTTTCACATTTATTGGACCTCCTGCATCTGCAATTCGTGACATGGGTGATAAAAGGTAAAACCAAAGGGCAATTTGTGTCCATGTCTTCATTTAAGCGTACTACTCCTGTTAGTTCGTTTTTCTTTTTTTCTAGATGCCAAGGAGCTTTGGCTACATGAATACCTTAAACAGATAGTTCATTTCCTTCATACTTGAACAAGTATCAGATAATAATTAGTTGAATCTTTTAGATGAAACAAGCTATATATGTCCAATCTCTAGTGATGGTTTCTGTTCCTATATATGGATCTGTGCAGTATATCCACGACATGCCACGTCACAAATTTGATTTTGCATCGTATTTCCTCCCCGGAGTACATGTATATAGTTGTTTCACATTAGGGACCAAAGTTTGCTGATATATAGGCATTTATGTTGAGTACAGCACATGTCGACTGCACCAGCATTTTCCTCCACTGCATTCCATCACAGATTTTATATGTACTTTGTGAGTTGTACTTTATCGAAATCTAATGGTATTAGGCATGGTGTTTTCAGTGCTTCAAAGAGAATAATGGGTGCAGCAGGAGTACCCCTTGTACCTGGATATCATGGTGATGAACAAGATGTTGACATGATGAAAATAGAAGCGGATAAAATTGGATATCCTGTATTGATCAAGCCTACTCATGGAGGTGGAGGAAAGGTCTACAATTTGTTGGCTCTCTCTTTATTATGATGTGCTTATTTCGGGGGTAATTAAAACCCTCACCTTAGTCAGTTACATGAATATACTTTCTTAATTACGTTTCAAAAGTTGTATTTATAATTTAATATGGATGGATATGTTAAAATCTTCATTTATCACTCCCAGTTATATACTTATATCTTAATCATGGAGTTCACATATAAGAATATCCTTGTTAGGCCTTTTATTTTACTGTTAAAATATTTTTTAAGAGACTTTCTGGTCAGTATAATTCCAGGTAGGTCACTGATGGATTTAGAGCTTAATCCAGTGTCATGCCTATTTTAGGGAATGAGGATTGTACAAAGCCCTCAAGAATTTGTTGATGCTTTCCTTGGAGCACAAAGAGAGGCTGCTGCATCTTTTGGGGTAGATACAATTCTGTTGGAGAAGTATATAACAAAACCAAGGCACATAGAAGTCCAGGTATTCTTAGTATATCCTATCTATTAATAGGAATCAGTCTGCTTTGGCCTTTATGTGATATCTGCCTGCGCTGGTCCAATTTGCCATTTATGTGTTTATTTTTTCTGCTATTCCTGAAATAAATTATAGGGTGATTCAGTGATCCGAAATTACGGATGTAACGGGCTAATATGCTGCAGTAGCACAAGAATTGGCTGATGATAACTGCTTAGGAGAACTTACCTTCTAATTCCAAGATTATGAGAAAAGTATTTCACTAACTGAAACTTCTTAATGTAGATCTTCGGGGACAAGCATGGTAATGTCATACATCTAAATGAGAGAGATTGCAGTGTGCAGAGGAGACACCAGAAGATTTTTGAGGAAGCTCCTGCTGTAATTCTTCTTTTCAGAGCTTTGCTACTTAATTTTATAATTTGTGATTTGTCCCTGAAGATTACTCCCTGACCTGAGACTAAATTTCTGTACCTGCAGCCAAGCATTAGCAATGATTTTCGAGCTCAGTTGGGCCAAGCCGCTGTATCTGCTGCCAAGGTGATGTATGTGTTTATGGCTTTGACTCTGGCTATTGTGGTTGGGTTCCTCTCAATAATTTCCTGTATTTTCTACAGGCAGTCAGGTATCACAACGCCGGCACTGTTGAGTTTATAGTCGATACTGTTTCAGGAGAATTCTATTTTATGGAGATGAACACCCGTCTTCAGGTGGTTTGATCTCTTGAAGACATGTGTTTTCTTATATAATATGTTTATATCCTCTAAGCGTCGATGCCTGTGCAGGTTGAACATCCTGTGACTGAAATGATTGTTGGCTATGATCTTGTAGAATGGCAAATACGTGTAGCGAATGGGGAACCCCTTCCAATCAGTCAATCTGAGGTGCCTCTGATGGGTAAAGTTTATTTGTTGTTGAGTCTTACCCTTCCCATATATCTGACTGTATGCACACTGATATATAAGTGAGGTTGAATTTGTCAAAGATTTCAGATTGAATTGAGTCGAAGACTGCGTCATATGTGTTCTTGTGATTGTTACATCATTAAATATAAGTGCTGTTTGATCTAATCCTCAGTACTGGAGATCCTTCATAAAACTTTGTAATTTTTCAACCTTTACCAGTTGGACTCCATGTCTTTGTTGTTATAATTTTCCGTGTTCTGCTAAAAATTGAGGGAAGTCGGGATCTTAGTTTATTGCACTCTAACCTAGTTAGTTATCTGAAACATTCACGCTTGCCTTCTGCATTAAAAGGTGTTACATTTGTGTGTGTGTGTGTTTTTTTTTTTCCCCTTCACAACTTAGACGTGTTAAGTTATATATGAGAAGAAAAAAATTGCTAATTTTAATTTGATTATTTAGTTGACAAGGTTACCTTGTTCTGAACATCTGTTCATCTTTCACGAGTTTTCACACATTTTTAGCTTTGACCTTCAGATGCAAAAAAATTGCAACATTTATGTTAGTGTTTGGCCTTTTGCCATATACCTAGTTAGTTTGAGTGCTCTATGTGCCGAAACCTTTTTTTTATTTTCATTTGGCTAAAATTAAACCGTATGGCTCCTTCATTCTTTCTGTTCATTTTTTTAACCTCTATGTAAGCTCGTAACTTCATATGCCAGGTCATGCGTTTGAATCGAGAATATATGCCGAGAATGTCCCCAAAGGATTTCTACCGGCAACTGGGATTCTTCATCATTATCGTCCTGTTCAAGTTTCATCGGAAGGTACTGGAAATTAAAGATATTGAGGCCTCGGTACAAATTCAGTATTTCCCTTGAAAATTTATCCAATCCATAGAAGCTTTTGTTTCTGATTAAACGAATGTCTGCATTACATTTCATATGGGAAACAATACCTGAATCTGCTGTTTTTCTTGGTATAGTAGCTTTTACTTATGACAAATTCATGACAATGATCAGTTAGGGTTGAGACCGGAGTTGAGCAGGGAGACACTGTTAGTATGCATTATGATCCCATGATAGCTAAACTTGTGGTATGGGGAGAAGATCGAACAAGCGCATTAATCAAAATGAAGGACTGCCTGTCAATGTTTCAGGTATCGTGAATTGCGAGAATTATTATGCAATTTTGTTGCATGTAAAATTAGTATTAGCTCATTAAATACTGTTCAAGTTTTTTGACTTTATTGAATTGTCTCTAGGCTTAAAAGATGTGATCCGGTTAGTGTTCTACTTTGTGGAGCAGAAATATTTTCCTAATTTGTGAATTTTAATAAACTAATTGAGGATCACAAGATTGCATTTGCTTTGTCATAATACATTTTAGTCTGCAAGAATCATCTCTCATCTTTCTTCTATTTACTAGCATTGTTCACGAAAGAAGTAACTAATATTGCCAATCTCAAATATGATAAGCAAACAGTTTTTATAAGCTAATGTGTACCCTGAGAGAAATTTTACATTAAAATGATAGTGATGGAATTACCATTTTACCCTATTCATCAGCTGTAACTGTAATCAACATTTCATCTCATATCCCCAAGCTTTTTGACAAATAACACAGCACATCCTTCTCTCTCTCTTTACAAAGGAAAAAAAATAATCTTATCTTGCGCCACTGTATCCACACCCCTTATATCAATGGAATAGAATATTGATAATAGTTAGTTCCAACAGGTTGCTGGTCTGCCAACCAATATCGATTTCCTCTTGAAAGTTGCGAGCCATAGAGCTTTCCAAAATGGAGAGGTCGAAACCCATTTTATCGAGACGCATAAAGATGATCTATTTATTGATCCGAATGACCAGTTATCAAATCAGCTAGCGTATACTGCTGCTTTACGAGGGGCTGCCATTGCAGCTGCTTGTGTTTGTGAAAAGAAGCACAGGGCAATGAGGGAAAATGCCCCTGGTAGTATACTAGTGGAACCGAACCATTTTATCCAACAGCATTTCCTCTTATATTCCTTGGAAAATTGCTAATCCTGTAATACTGGACAGGTAATCTTTCTGTATGGTACGGTAGTCTTCCTTTCCGAGTGAATCACAGTGCTAAGCAGACAATGGAGCTTGAATGGGAAGATGAATCTGTCAAGGCTGGCCTAAAACTTCCATCAGTACAAATCACTTATTTGTCTGAAGGGAAATATGTAATTGAGGTCTTTCAGTGCCTATCCCCATATCCAAGCTGAAAAGAGTTTTCAGTTTTGAATATTCTCAGGATATTGCAAGTTTTGTTGCTTCAAAAGCTAGTTATTATGCATTTTCAGATGGGAGGAAGCAGTTCTGATAATCTCGAGCTGAAAGTGGCACACCTAAGGGATCACGATTTTCGAGTCGAGCACGGTGGTGTAAGCATGACTGCCAGCATATCCATTTACCGTAAGGTGGACACGATATAAACAGAGGAAAATAGAAGTTCACTGTAATGATTTTTTATTTTTTTTTTCCCACTCAAATGCGCACTATGAATAATTTCTTCATTGCAGGACCAGGTGGAGCACATTCATGTATGGCACGGCTCGAGCCATCATCATTTTAAACATAAAACGGGACTCGATCTTGCTGGCATCGATGACTCCCAACACAAACCTGCTGACAAGGCATCATCATCCTCACATCCGCCTGGAAGTGTCGTTGCACCTATGGCCGGTTTAGTGGTCAAGGTTTTGGTGAAGGATGGGGCACAAGTTGCCGAAGGGCAACCTGTATTAGTTTTAGAAGCAATGAAAATGGAGGTCTGTGTTTTTTTTTTCGTCCATTTTTTTTGTTATAAGCTTTGTCCAACCAATTTCTTATAACCTGTAATATGGGGTTTTTGCTTATCGACTTTCTTCTGCAGCATGTCGTGAAGGCATTGACTGGTGGTTATATTACTGGTCTTACTGTAACTCCTGGCCAGCAGGTTTCGGATGGTACTGTTCTGTTTAGCATAAAGGTGAGTCATGTCAATTATATTTTGCATGTTTAACTTCCGTATTAACATTTTTATAAAGTTATGAGTTATTTGATTTAGAGAAAACTAATAGAATCAAACTTTGCTTGAAATTGCAGACAGTAGTCGAGATTTTACAACACCCTAACAAATATAATGGCTCAATTTAGGTTGGAATTTGTGGGGTGGGGTGGGGTGGGGTATTTGTAATTAGACAAGATCTCAGAGGAATATACTTTGAAATTAAGTCTGTCGATGAAAGCATGCTAATTAAAGATTAAGTGAGCCGTATTATTATCTACTGAGGATATGATATCTATACATTTACAGTTTTATTGTTATATTCTTGAACAGGGCGAGTGAAAATTTCCCGTGGAATTTGTCCATTTGAATGCCTCTCGTAAACACACTCTCGTACATTGTGTGTGGTTTTTGATGGAACATGGGATTTAGACGCACCGTGCTGATTGTATGTAACTGTTTGTAAATATCACACGTCTTATCCTCTGTCAATCATGTCCTAATGCAATATAACAAACAAAAAAGCGTATGAACTCGAAGAAAAAGAAGATGTTTGTATTTCCTTTTCTGGGGGGATTTTTGTTGTCGTTATAACTTTTAGAAGATGTCCAAGAGAAAACCTAAACTTGGGTACCCTACTGCCTAAATCAGGCGTTCCAAACCGTTGGATCTACACACGTGTGTGCGCGCGTGTGATCTAACGGCTCGGACAATTCTCCCAAAATTTGGACACTAGCTATTGTGAATGATTGATTGGTGGCATATAAATACATGCTTTTATTAAAAAAATCACTTTCTTCAGAAGACGCTAGACCTAAACCTTGTTTCAATTCAAAGTAATGGCTTCAGAATAATTGTGCCTCTCTCTACCCGGACAATAGCATGTGTATTTATTTGGATTTCAATTATCTTTTTGGAAACATGCAGCAAATAATTTGCTCTCATTGAGTGCAAGCCTCAGAATCTATTCAAGAAGTGTGAGTTTTACTTTTACACTCATGCTTATAGGGAAATGCTACCATTCTATTACGGGATGGTTCGGATGGTTCTGTTGTCTTTTGTAGCCGTAAATATATATGTAATCTAGTAATGTGTAGATAATCCACGCTTAAAAAAATACAACGGAACAATCCCTTAAAAAATAGTAGCATTCTCCCATGCTTACATAAATATCGGTTAAAAGTTAAAACCCTTGGGGGGGTTGAATGATATTTCTTGAGCAAACTTATGGGTACTGTTGAATATTGACAATTTTAAGAATATCGAAGTTTATTATTTTATCTGACGTAGTCAAGTTTAGATAATTTTTTATATTTGGATTATTGGGGAGTGATTGAATATAAAATATTTTTGGTTTTGATTGGTTGGATAAAGTGAATTATTTTGAATAAAATTATTGAGTGAGAAAAACGAGTAAGATTTTGAGTTTGTATTTAAATAACATTTGAAATGTAATAATTAAAGTTGATATGATATAAAATTAGAAGAGAGATTGATTGAAAGTAATAGTAATTAAAAAAGTGTGATTGGATAAATAATGAATTGATACATTGGAGCAGAGTTAAATTGGATAAAATTGAGTTGAATTTTGAATTAGTGAGTGTAAAATTATCCAATCTGTCAAAATTGAATAATTTATATAGCCAATTGCCCCTTATTATTTTTAAAAGTATTTCAATATTATTTTGTTCAGTGCATTATTATTAGCTACTGTAATGCAACGAAAGATATAACTATCGATGAGTTCATCAATTTCAATTAAAGCTAAAGGTTGTTTTTTTCGTACTCATCGAAAGTACAGAAGCAAGGAGGACAATATGATTGTCTAATGTCATCTTTTGGATGAGAAAAAATATTGTAGTTAAATGTCAACTATTAGGTACAAACTCTAACCTTAGAAGACTAATGTACCTGCAATTAATATTTTCTGTAACAATCCTCCCATATTATTTCTGAATGTACTGAGCCTACGTGGATGTTTCTGGTACTTCGGAATCTTACTTGACAAAGAACCATGCTTTGTAATTAGGTTTGGACAAATAATATTGATATATTAATAATTAATAATCTAGGTTCGGACATTCCATAAATATTATTTAACTAAATTAGGTATTTTAATATAACTTTTACTAATATAACCCTTTAATTCTTTGTAATTTTATATAGTGAAACACTAAGTGACTAATATATCCCAGACTTTTGATTTATTTCCTTCAATTAGCTATTGAATTGTAAATGTATTTTAAAAGTTGATAACTTTTATAATTCTTATCGGTTTTACATATATAATATATTAAGTTAATTATCTTTTGATAATCTTTGAATTGACATCCATATTGTATATATGAAATAAATAAATCATATTTATCTTTATAATAAAAAAAATAATAATATTTATTAAAATTCATTATAAAAATAAAATTATTTCTCAATTGATATATTTATGTATAATGTAGTTATATGTTGTAAGTCAAAAAATATTATATATAACACAGATAAGTCGCACAAATAGAAAAGTGTCATACTAAATATATAATAATATATATATTTTTATAAGATTTTCAATTATTTTTTCTCATTAATTTTAGATTTTAATAAAAAATTAGCAAGCACCGGTGTAATACACGGGAGTTTTAGTAGTATATGTTAAATTGTAAAGTATAAGACTTTCCAAAATCTTATAAAGACTAGTAACTACTTTATAATATTTCGTCGTTATTAGAAAAATCCTCTCTACCTGCAATTCTATATATATATATATATTTTCTTCATTTATTGATAAATAATTTCGGTTTTGACCCATATTTCTGTACAATTTCAATACAATCCGATATTATTATAAGTATTTTGCATATTTTTTAAACTCGGCCCGGAAATCGACCGAGGCAGGTTTCTGGGTAACCGGGTCATCGGTTCAACCGCCGGGTCACCGGGTCAAATGTTGAACCGGATAGTTAATTTTATTTTTTAAAAATTATATATATATAGTATTTTTTACATGTAAATATATATAAAAGTAACAAAAATAAATATTTTGTATATAAAATTTACACATCAAAGTATTAAAAGAATTGTATCTCACAATAAATATTTACTATATCAATATATTTACATTGTTTTTACTTTTTTATATATAAAATACTAAAAAAATAAAAAAAAAATATATAGTGACCGAGTCAACCGGGTTGACCCGGCCGGGTCAATGACCCGGGTCGACCGGGTTAAGGCCGGGTTGGCCGGGTTTTGACCGGTTTTGACCGGTCCGTTGTTACCCGGTCCAAATAGACCACCCGGACCGGTTCCGGCTCCGGGTCGGCCGGGTCTCAGGTCGACCCGCCGGACCGGTCCGGGTTTGAAAACTGTGGTATTTTGTGCCTATTTATTATATCTAACCAATGGTGAATAATTAGTATAACACATATTTTATTTTAATCATCTAGTGTTTTAAATTAATCATTGTGTAAGCAAGAAATTCATCTAATACAATTATTGTGATAAAAACGAGGTTGCGTTGGCTTTTCGCAAACATGATCGTTTAGAGGATGATTGGATATAAAATTTTTTGGTTTTGTTTGGATTATTTTGTTTGGTTTGGTTAGTTTTGAAAAAGTTGGTATGATTAGTTGTTAGTGGATATGTTAAAATAATATTTAAAATTAAATGATTAAAGTTGATTTGATGTAAAGTAAAAGAGAGGATATTTGAAGTGATTGTTAGTTAAAATTATGTGAGTACATGAATAGTGAATTAAGGTGATGTTTTGTGTAAGAATGATTGATTTGATATTATTTAATTATATTGATAATATTGATGATAGTGAGGTTGAGTTAAAGTTGAGTTAAAAAAATGATTGAGTTAAAAATGTTTGAATTTTTTTGAGATAATTTTGTATCCAAGCATGCTCTTTAATATTTTTAGTTTAATTATTTATTCCATTTATTTTATTGTTATTTAAGAAATTTAATTATTTTAGTATTTTATTTTGTATGAAAGTTTACGATAACCAGAGATTTCTTAGGAGTCTAAACTGATAAGTAAGTTTCATAGGAGTCCTATTTAAATTCATATTTTATCGTATTAAGACTGAGTTCATTTTGATTGAATTAAGAAAATACGAGAGTTCTCTCAATTCTTCCATGAAAGAAAATACAAGAGTTCTCTGAATTCTGGTTTGTTAGTCCACGCTTTCGTTGTGTTATATTGTGTGAAACATTCTAATCATAAAGCGGGTCATCATATTTTTTGAACAAGACATACACATATATATGTATATATACATAAATTGTTAAATTCATATTTTTTATATTCTTTTAACGTATGACATTTTTATTTATAAATAGCATAGATTTTCATCTCGGAACGGCCCTGACGGGTCAACCTGGAGTCGAAACTTATCCGGGTGGACTATAACTATTCATACTGAGTAACAACAAACCAGATCAAAATCCGGTCGGTTGACCCGACCATAGAATTTTACTTTTTAAATACACTTTTTTATTTTAGAAATAAAAAAATATGTATATTTAATATATATATATATATATATATATGTGTAAATGTTCATTATGACATTTAATTTTATTAACACTTTGACATACAAAATTCATACAAACAATATTTAATTTTATTATTTTTATGTATATTTATATAATAAAAAGTATTTATATAATTTTATAAATTTATAAAATTACTTATCCAGTTCATTAACTCACCTGCCCAGGTCGATAAATGCCGTACTCGGCCTAAACCCTACCATTTACCAAATGTATGTGAAGTCATTCAAGTCCTCGTCAAGAAACCCACACACGGGCCCCAAATTCGGGCGCGGGCCCGTCCGCAGGCCACACGGCCGAGCTAATCTCTTGTCGCCTTCCCTGTAGAGGGAAAATTCGGTGCTGCAGTCAGCCTCCATTGTTAAAGCTCCTGCTTTTCTGACTTCTCTCTCTTATTTATCCTCCACGCCTCTACCATCTAACACCATACTTCACAGTCTTTCAACTATTCAACACTATTTCATACCCCGAGGTCCGTTTCATGTCTCTCTTATCTTAAACCCTTGATTATTTCAAATGGGCTCATAACATTTTTACATTTTTGCAGGAAGAAAAAAATAAAAATGGATTTCAAGAATGTGGAGGACGAAGAAAAATGTGTTCTTGGGACAGCCCAGAAATTTGAAGGGGCCTTAGAATTGAGAGTGAAGGATGAGGGGTGTTTGGATAATAGTGGGACCAGCGTGTTTTTGAGGGCTGATAAGATCGATTTCAAGACTTGGGACGTGCAGATGGAGAAGCATTTGGGCCGGGCTTGGTCGAAGGATAACGAGGAGGCCCGTAGCAAGCCCGAGGAATGGGGGATTGACTTGGCTAAGCTTGAAATCAAGAATGTTATAGCTTACGGGACATATGGTACTGTTTACAGAGGTGTTTATGATGGCCTAGATGTTGCTGGTAAGAAAGATATGAAATATGAATGTGTGTAGTTTTCCCTTTTCTTGTTTATGACTGTTTGTTTTATTTATTTACTTTTGCACCCTTTGTCAATTTGTGCACCTTCACCAGTGTAGAATGATGAATTTAAGTTCTCATAGTGTTGATCGCATGTCTTTTTTTATACACTGAGAAAAAAAAAATAAAAAAATCAATTACACAGTGAAAGTATTGGATTGGGGAGAGGATGGTATAGCCACAGCTGCTGAGACTGCTGCCCTTCGAGCATCTTTCAAGCAAGAAGTGGCCGTGTGGCATAAGCTCGACCATCCAAACGTAACCAAGGTGAATATATGTCTCTTTAATTCATAACAAGTCTTTAAATTTACAATGTGTTATATGTAAACGTATAAGTCGTAACTTTATGATGCATTTGTGCTCTGTATTTAAAGACACGAGGTCTGTGTTTTTTTTTCGCTAAATGTGCTCAATTATTAACGATTGCTCGTTTTTTCTTAGTTTATTGGTGCTTCAATGGGTACATCGAATCTTAAACTTCCATCTCAAGAAAATCTGGCCGTCGGTCACAATTCACTTCCATCACGAGCTTGTTGTGTTGTGGTCGAGTATATTCCAGGGGGGACTTTGAAGAAATTCGTAATCCGGAATAGCCAGAAAAAACTTGCCTTCAAGATCGTGGTTCAACTCGCTTTGGATCTTGCTCGAGGGTGAGAAAAAATGTTATTTTGCTTGTATTATTAAAATTCGTTATATGTGAATGTGATTGCACACTTGCAACCATGTTAAGACAACAGAGTTACCGAACACTCGATTCGTTCGGTTGAACATCTGTTTCTTGAACACCTGTTAATGGGATTTATAGTTTTGATATTACTGAATCAGGCTGTGTTTGGGAAGCATATAAGGTAGTTTATAGCTTATGTGATTAGCTTATAAGTTTCCTATATTCAAATAAGCTTGGTCTGGTAGGCGAACTTTTTTAAAAGCTCTAGGTTATCTCATAGGCTTCTTTGGCTATCTTTTCAAATAAGTCTATTGAAATTTTTATTTCAGCTGGCTTATCAGCTAATTTTACCAAACACTTCTATCATATAAGCTATCTTTTCAGCCATAAGTCATAAACTATCAGCTATAAGCTCGAAATCCACTTAAAAGCTATAAGCTCGAAATCCACTTAAAAGCTATAAGCTAGCTTATCAGTCAAGTCTACCAAACATAACCTTAATATGTGAATTTGAAACCACAGTCTTTATTTTTCTCATGTTTCTATGTGATACTTAACATAACAGATTGAGTTACCTCCATTCGAAAAAAATCGTACATCGTGATGTGAAGGCGGAGAATATGCTGCTGCACGCCGACAAAATTCTCAAAATCGCAGATTTTGGAGTTGCGAGAATCGAAGCTCAGAATCCAAGGGACATGACTGGCAATACTGGAACTCTCGGTTATATGGCGCCTGAGGTACATTATTTTCTGGTTCACTCAATTTGAAAAAAAATATAAAAAAATGGATATTTGCTGAAAGATTGAAATTATTTTATAGGTTCTTGATGGTAAACCGTACAACAGGAAATGCGATGTGTACAGTTTCGGCATATGTCTGTGGGAAATTTACTGTTGCGAGATGCCTTATCCCGACTTGAGCTTTGCCGAGGTATCGTCTGCTGTGGTTCAACAGGTTCGTCTTATTTACAAAACATTTTCATAATTTATTTGCTGTTTAGTTCATTGGAAATGGAAAAAAAAAAATAAAAAATTTACATTTAATTTTACAAGAATGACTAGTTTTGTATGAACTTCTACTAATATTCATCAGGTCTAAGTGTCCAAGTGACAGTTGCGTACGCTTCGTAATCTTATGTTGGTAATATATTTTGCTTTGTAATATGGCTCGGATAAAAATTACTATTTTTTCTTTATACCAAATAGCTTAAGTTTGGATTTACATATCTACACATATTTAATATATTTATATTATTCCACATAAATCTATTTATTATCTTCCTTGTGCATATTATTTTACTTTCCAGATTCTATGCTTTGTCCATATAAATTATTCTCTTATATGTTTTAAAATACAAATATATAAAATAAAGCGAATGATGTATATAAATTAGTTTTCAAAATTTAAAATAATATTTTTAATTCACTCACTTCTTTATTATAAATTGTTATACATTGTTCTTTAATTTATTTTTGGTGTACATTCAAATTATGTATCTGTAGTACACGGGTATTGTACCAGTAAATTAAATTAGGGATTATTTGTAGTTCGGACAGACTTATAATTTGGTTATAAACTATAAATGCCAGAATTTGCGACCGGAAATTCCGAGATGCTGCCCGAGCACATTAGCCAACATCATGCGAAAGTGTTGGGACCCGAAACCCGATAAACGACCCGAAATGGACGAGGTCGTCAAGTTGTTGGAAGCAGTGAATACGAGCAACAGTGGTGGGATGATACCGGACGATCAAGCTCGGGTATGTTTTTGTTTCGGGCTTGCTCGTGGTCCATGAAAAAAAACTATACTCTTTCCTTTTTTTTTTGTTAATAAAATGTAAGTTTTGATGCCTTTTTTTTTCCGATTTTTCGTTTTTTTTTCTTCTTTTTGTTTATATTTATAATAATGGCATATGGCTATGGTGTATATTGTTTGATGCAAAAAAAATTTCACTCCTCTGGAGAATGTTTGATTGACAGGATTTATGTTGTTATCCTGTAAATCTGGTGCCTTAGGAACAAAGTTAAATATGATTTGTTCCAAGACTTTGGTTATATGCAAATAGAAAAAAGAAAAAAAAAAAAAGACAAAAACATATTATAGCTTTTAACGAGACAAGCTGAGCTCGGTTTGTTAATTAATTGTGGAGTTGTACTGAAGTTGTGGAGTCTCGGCTAGAAA